CTCTTTTACATCAGTCTTCAAACTTTGCTTTTTTCCTAAATAAAATCTCTTCCTTCCAACCTCTTTTCATGTCATTTGGCAGCCAAAAAAAGACTCTGATCGTGGCATAAAGTCCCCGTATGTGTTTTAAGAAGGAAATGCAGTTGTTTTGATATTAAATGTGTCCCAGTGAAGGGCTGGTACACATCTCTAAGTGCTCATCTTGAAGAAAGGGCCGAAAGATTAGGAGGATGGAGAATTTGCTTCCTGTTTTCAGTGTTTGAATGGTTTGGTCTTTCTATCTTGCATTGCCCACATATTACTTCCATAACCTTAATTGTTTTATCTTTTAAATTATCTGTATGTTGGTAGGGTTTATCAGAACCGTTGTTTTCCAATTGCAAATATACAAAATTTCAGTTATTTTATGGATTAAAATAAGCACTGTGGGCCAACCGAAGCATCCGGTCACTGTTTATAAGGCCATTATCCTTTTCAAGTTCCATATAAAGTAACTGGCTTATAGATAACTCTTGGATTACAACCTGTTCGTAAACTGTAACTAATCATATTGATTAAAACCCACAGGTTTTCACAGTTCAGGATGGAGACTGTACAGAATATCTGTTCTCTGAACAGGAAGCAAGATATTATGGGAGCTGTGTGCTCAAGGCCATTTCCTAGTTCTAGACTCTGCAGGCAGATCATCATCTCCCCGAAGTACGATACTGCCTGGTTAATCCAGTATGTCAAGCAGAGGCTACTTGACCCTGGAAAGCAGATATTACACATGTACTCTCTCTAATAATAATAACCACATGTTATATTTCACATGTTGTCTGTAATAATAGGAACCACGTATGACATTTCACGTGTTGTGTATAGTATCATATTGTACTACATATCTGGCATAACACATAGTAAACATGCTGTTACATTTGCATTTTCCAAGCTTGAATATATTGTACTTCACGTACCACGGCGAAGCTTTAATCATCTTTCTCCCCGACCATAATGGTATTAATACATCATGAGATAACAAAAGTGACCGTTTTCCTTCTGCCTTAAGTAAAGGGTTTAATCAGCTCATCTGAATGCACGCGCTTGCTTCTAACCCTGAACGGTCACCTCCGTGACTCAGGACACAACAGACACTATGTAGGGACAGTTCTTTTGCTCCAGCTCTGCAGGAGACCGTTAGCTAGGGACAGGACGGAAATTTTTTTCTTTCCACTAATGAACCAGGCTCTGGGGCTTTTGCAGCCACACATGATAAACACACACACACACACTCAGACATACTCACACACAGCCCCTGGGAGGGGTGAGCAGGGGCAGGGGCTGTGCTTGAGCTCACGTGAGCCTCGCTTTGGTTTTCCCCATTGATGGCAATTTTGTTTTCAGGGGCAAAACTGCCGTGTTCCCAACACACAGACTGACGAGGAGCAGTTCTTACACCTTACTAAAAGGGTATATGTGTCACTCTTACTTTTAAAGAAAGAAAAGGATCTCAATCATTCAGGTTTACAGTTTCTAGCCAGTTTCTGTCATTTGGGGGGGAAAAAAAGGAAGATGACAGAGGAAATGTTTACCTCAGTTTCATAGGCAGTAGCTGTATTTTTCAAAACATTCTGTTTTAAAGCACAATAGGCTTTGCAGTTGTTTATAAATTTAAAGTATTCATTAGTGTGAAATAGTTGTTTATTTCCTTTCTCTATTTCCTCTTATTGGGGAAAAAAAAAAATTTGGTCTCCTAGCAAGACACGATCCATTTCGTAAGTTATTTGTCAGTTTTCATAAAGTATATTTACTGTCACTGGGGCAGAGGTTTAGAATAGCTGCAGAATTAGCAAGGGGTATTGTGGTACGTTTGGTGCAGTAGCCATCGTGGGGTTTATCTCATCCTGTTTAACCACCGAGCAGAAAGCTGGCCTTCCCTGTGTTATTCCATTCATATTCTCTGTCCTCATTCACGAGTCTGACACTTCTTTTTCGTGCCAGATTAAAGGGGCAGGGTGGCATCTTTTGATGATCTGCAAAACAGCTTTAGTCTTAGTGCAAGCTCCATAGGCTGTGGATGCTAAGCACTCAGAAGCTGAAATGCTATTCGTCTGCCCTGAAATTAACCAGAAACTGGGTCTTATTTTCCTCCTTGACAAGTTGTCTTAAAAGCTTAAAGGTTTCTTTTTTTTCACTCTTTCTCTCTTGTTTTCAGTATTGGCCAGAGAGAGAAAGGAAATATGGAAACATTAAAAAACAAAACAAAAAAAAACAGCCCTAAAGAAAAGGAAATACCTAAAACAATGAGAAACACAGAATCGTGCTTTTTCCTTCTGTGATAATCTATCAATAGGTGTTAGGTTGTGGTGTCGATCCTTGAATCGTGTGGCTTATCTATTATCCCATCATATATTATTTTCTCCCTTATGATAAAAAGCAGTGTTTATTATCACAGGTGAGAAAACACAGAAGGAAAAAAACAAGCAGGGAGGTTCCATTTAAGCACGTTAAGTGGGTTTCATGTTTGCTCTTCTGCTTTCATTCCCAAAGCAGAAGCTCATAAACCGAGTGAGAACACAAACTGACTTCCTCAGGTGCTCGTTACCCGGCAGGCCAGGAGGACAGGTGCGGAGCCACTGAGAAGATAAACATCGAGTCATCCTCGGTGACATTTAGCCAGATAGCTGAAGGAGGAATTTAGAAATACCACTGCGCCACTGTTCAAATATTTACTCCTTAAACCCGGAAAAGGGAAAAAATTGGGGTCGCGTCACGTCGCGTCAAATTCCTTGTTTTTTCCCTTCTCTACACAGTCTCGAAGGTTCAAGGGAAGCGAGTCGCGGATCTGAGAGAGAAACGTGAGCTCGGCTTCTGGAGTTTCAGGTAGACCTAACGTGCGCTGCATTAAGCAGATGCAACAGAGCAGCCTCGCGTTTGGCAAAACATTCTTTTATGTTTCCTGGCTGTTTATTTTAAGAGATGATTTACCAGCCGGGCGGATTAGAATGTTTACTAGAACGGAGAGTGTTTCATCCCTCCGTCCCCGTGGCTGGAGCCCTGGCGTTCACAGAGCCTCAGGGAGCTGCGGGGAGCCTGCTCACAAGCCAGCGCGATCCTTGAAAAGGAGGCGGGAAGTCACTGCCCAGCAGAGATTAAGGAGACAGTTTCGTCTTCCAAGTATTTGAAACTGTGTTGCTCTGTACTTTTTAACCTTAACGTCGTTAATCATACACCTGTGACTTTTAGACGGTTTAAAAAGGGCAGACCTCTAGGACCTTCTCAGGAAGAGAGACTCTTGGCCACAAGGGAGAGCGCTTGTGGAAATCTTACCAATGAGTTTCATATTACACGGCGGGTCTTTTTGACAGGTTTTTGTGGTTTTCTGTCTTTTGATTTGCAGCCACCTCTCTTGTAGCCGTGACTGCAGCGCCGGGAGCATTCATTCATTAAGGCTCAGGGCTCGCCTAATAACTTAGTCGCTTCCTCTCTGAACGCAGGAGAGTTAATGAGAAGCACAGATGAGGAGCCGAGATCTATTCTGAGATTAAGATAAGATATCCTAACAGAAAGTTCATGGTGAAATGAAAGACCGAACGTAATTATGCTCTCCCCGGGGAAAAGTCTCGAATGAAGTGAACCAGCTTGTTAAAGTCCCTACGTGGCTTTAAATAGTCACATCCTCTACCTTGGGGCATCGCGATGCAATGTCATTATGTTTAATGATTAATCTACTATTCCCATAATTCATTTAAACCTTAACAGTATCTATGGTCCATATAAGGTGGAATTCCAGGGAGATGGCAGGTTTCGTATAAATAGCTCCCAGGTTTCCATGTGAACACGATCCCTCGTGAAAGAAAAACTGACATTCAATCTCCTATTTTGGGTAAACTCTCCAAAAAAAAGCCTCTGAGACAGTGGACTCATCGTAGCCCCTAGCACAGGACCAACCTGTCACAGCATAACCGGCAGCGAGACCGGCCCGAGCTCCCGCCCACGTGGGTCACCTTCAAAGCCAGCACCGGAGCTGAAGGGGGCTGCAGTGCTGGATCCCCCCGCGAGACACTTAGAAAACTCACCCCGTTTACAAATGACACACCCTTGGGGTAAAGCCCTGAGGTTCTGAGAAACATAAGGTCTGCTTTATTTAATTTCCTCTCATTTACTAAGAGTCACAACCTATTTTAGTAAATAAATTCAGGAAATTGGTAAAGCACTTCACTCCATCCGTTATGTATCAGCAATTAACATGATTGTCACGTTCTTCCTGGCCCCCCTGCTGCTCACAGCTTCCCTCACGTTCCTGCCTGCGACCAGTTTATAACATCCCTGGCAGTGGGTGTTTCTGAGTTTAAACGACTTAAACCAACAGAACAGCCTACAAGCATTCCTCCGCTTTATTCATAAAGATTCCTAACTTTTGAGATTTTTCTCTATTGATTCTGGCATTCTTTTCAAATAATCCTTTCCACTTCTCAACCGTGACCACTTTCTGCTTTGGCACAGACTAAGA